TTGGATGCAATTGGATTGAAAAATTGCATTTCCTACTCAAAATTTTGAATTGAACAATATTCACAATGTGTGTGTTGTGCACAGAAAAAGTTAATATTATTTTTAGATTGAAAGGTATAGAGATATGTTCCATGCAATTCCTATAAATAAATAAAAATGCATTCAGGATTGAAAAGCATTCATTTTAACATTAGTGAATCAATATTTCTGAAAATCTGAATCCATTTCAATTCATTTCCATTCTCTAGATTTTCAGCGCTGGCAGTGAATTTTTTAACACAGCCAGTAATCATACCAAATCATACCGGCATCGCTGGTCACGTTACGCTATATCGCGCATAACAGACCAATTTTTCATACACATTCTCTTGATTTTTTTCTTTGACATTTGCAATAACACAAGTGTCAATAATAAACGGATGACTTGATTAAAAATGAAGTTCAAAGGTAGAATGATAGACGCAGGTGCCATGCGGGATTTTACACGTAAAATTTTAATTTTATATTTCTAACCTCGTCATAGATGTCGAGGATGATAAAGCTCAGGGTTGTGCCAAGGTATTTCAAGATTATATTTACATGGAATATTTTATATTGTTTTCGTTAAGTTTACATGAATCTTTTTCAATATAAACAATGTAAAATATGTAATCGGTGAGGGTAATATTTTTCGTAATAAGAATTCTTCAAATCGACAAATTTAATTTGAGATGTTTATTATTATTTAAAATGATTACTATTATTTCAATTTGATTATGTTGTAAATCCAAAAATAATCGTAAATTGTACTTAAAATAAATTACATATCGAGTTATTATTCCCAACATCTCATTTTGACTAATAACGTTTCTTCAAGACTAATATTATTGTGAATATGTGAATTATTATGAATAATGTAATACAGAAAGAAATAATTAACTTTTGTGAATATTAATATATAGCTGATATTAATATTGATAAAAAAATTTAAATACATAAGCGAAATAGAAGTTTTAGTGCAGTCCATTACAGTTTACATTGTATTCACATAGATGTTCACATAGATTATTATATTTTACAAAATGCACAACCCTGCTGAAGGCTGATCTACAATGTGCTCTTTGCTTCTTATTTCTTACTGTTTACCTTTTGTCTTTTTTTTCTCCTCTTTATAACTGTTTCATCAATAATCATCTTATCTCTTCCAAAGTTCTTTTAAGCCTAATCTACAATCTACAATATGTTCTTTGCTTCCTACTTCTTGTATTTTACTTCATATCTTTTTCCTTCTTTACGATCATTTTATAAACAATCCTATTTCTTTTTACATGTTTTCAAGTTCTTTAACTTTTATCTCGGTTACAGAAAACGAAAAAACTGAGTAAGAGACAAAAAGGCAAGAAATAAAAAGTAAACTAAAAAGCAAGAAACGGGAAGTAAAGAGCACATTTTGAACCAAGTTTTAATCTTGACGTCTTATTGATCAATAAACATTTTTCATATTCTTCAGATATTGTTAGTACTATATCTCGAATGGCAAAGTACTGCGTGTTGCAATTGGCACCAACCGAATTGTGCTTCAGTGTCGGTGATGAGCATGTACCTGTGCTCTGGACGGTGATCTTGCCGCAACACTTCTTTGCAGAGTATATTATGAGTGGTGTGACCGAGCAAGACAATAAGATCTACTTGGAGTTCGATGCCTCTATGTTTGCCAGAAGCTTGAATAGTCTAAGGGCAATGGCGAAGAGTGTGAAAATTAAATTGACGAACAGACGACAACCCTGTCTGACGTTTGAAATTGACCTGACCTCCCTGTCCGTTGACTCACGACAGTGTGTACATGACGTACCCGTGAAACTCATACCTCGTAGAGATTGGCCGGAATACAAAATGCCAGATATTTCCAAGTTTGATGTAGGTAGAAGACAATTCTTTTTAGCTGAACTTCTTGCACGATTCATTTTCTTTTCTTTTCATGGAAAAAGGAAAAGATAAACTCTGCGAAAAGTTTAACTAAAAAGGACATATTTATTGTGCGTGATCGGCAGAAATACAGTCTCATTTCAGATATCACTAGAAATGCCACAGTTGAAGTATGTACGGCACATCACGGATAGAATGAAAAATATAAGTTCTCAGCTGATAATGATCGCCAATAAACATGGTACATTGATAATAAAAATTGATGTGGATTTAGCTACGGTGTCCACTCACTTTAAAGGACTACAAGTTTATGAAAACGAAGAGGAACAAGAGACTGACGATATTTCGGCGACCATTAACATAAAGAAACTCTCTATGTTTTTGAGTTGGGACATTCTCCAGCCGGATAGTGTTAAGTGTAACTTATTGAAAGAGAAGATGGTGAAACTAACTTTAGATGTGGGAGATTACGTTAAGATACATTATTTTATACCAGCCATTGCATTTTGAGCAAGGAAAAAAATTTAGATACAGTATTACTTAAATGTAAAATATATATTTCTCATGATTCTCATTCATACACATCATATTTCATTCGTACATTAAATTTTTCATTAAATAAGGGACTCACAAAAAATAATTCTCAAGTTTTTATATAAGTCGACGGCTAATTATAAGCTAAATGTAAATTCTGTTCGCTCTCTTGTCTGAAACTTTGATGCATCTGATCAATTTGTTGTATTTTCTGATTTAACAAAGCCGTCTGTTGATCCAACCATTGTAAACTGTTCATATGTGCATTTAAAATTTTTCCAATTTGAACGATAGGATCACTGGAGTCTTGAGCGCGATTTGCTTCATTTAAATGTTCTATTATTTCTTTTAGATCTTCTGACATGCGTTTCAACTGGGTATCGAGATTCTCCGACAAACGATATGTATATTCTCGATCAGAATCCGAAACGGAAAGAGACGCTAGCTCCTTTTCCAATGGTACTAAACATTCTTGCAATTCTTTCTGTTGTCCAACCTGAATAATAGAATTATTTTAATTTAACTCGATGAAAATTTAATAATTAATTTCATTTGTATTAATATTGTATGAATGTTACAAAATTGTAAGAATACAAATGTGACTTACAACATAATCCAGCTCGTGTTCCAATTGTTGCTGCTCGATTTTCACTCTTTCAACTTCTTGATTCAGAGTTACTATTTTCTCCCCGTTCGTTATCAACAATTTATCCCAGGCATTAACTTGTGTAGCTTGATTCACAAATACTTTCTCTTGCTCCTCCAACTCTAAAGTCCACTTGTTGATAGATTCTTCAAGCTGACAGAAATTAATGGCACCTGGTTGAATACCAGTTGCAGAACTAACGCTGCAATAAAAGATTTTTGCAGAGAGTTAAAATTGAGCTGTTATAATAAATAATCGAATTTATCATGAGTAAGAATAAACCGAATATTTTGAAGATGAATTTTGTAATAAGCAAAACTATACTTACGTAGTGGTAGTACCCAAGGAAGTATGAGTAGCAGGTGCTGCTAAACTCGTTGAAACAGCAGCAGAAGTCGTTTTGCTCAGAGGAAATCCAGTGGAAGTAGTCGTCGATGTTCCGAAATTAAATCCTGCTGCAGTAGTTGCTGCGAGAGAAAATCCGGTGTTTGAAGTTGTGGTAGGACCTGTTTTCGAAGCATCAAATGAAAGTCCCGGTGCTGTAGACGTCGGTGCTGTACTGCTAGGAAGGTTAAAGCTCGGTATACTTGTTGCTGACGTTGTAATTGCAACTGTACTTCCAAGACCAAAGCCAGTTCCAGTAGTCATAGTGTTTAGTGTTGGAGTACCGAAAGTCAAGCCAGTGGAGCCTTAGAAATGTAATACATACATGTAATGTCTTTCTAATAGAATATATAGAATATGAGAAAAATGCTTTATTCGATCAACCTGTCATAGGTTTTGCTGTTCCGACACCAAAATTGAAACTTCCCGTTGTAGTTGTCGCGATAGAAAATCCCGTGGCTGGGGTTGTAGACACTTTCGTGGCGTCAAAGGAAAGCCCCGTCGGTGCGGACATAAGCGTCCCACTGCTCGCAAGATTTGTGAAACTAGGTAGACTCGACGCAGTGGATATGGATGTTGTTGTCGCGGTTATACCACCACCGAGGCCAAAGCCGGTTCCAATGGCCATAGTGGTCGGAGTGCCGAAAGTCAAACCGGTGAGTCCTTGTAACACGAAAAGAGCCAACGTGCATCAAAACATACCGGACGTGATTTCTCCGGAACTAGATAAAGTACGAAGATGCTTTATTTTTGCTTCGGTTCAGAATGCTCGTTGTACCTGTCGTGGGTTTTGGCGTACCGAAGGACAATCCGGTATTCGGAGGTGTAGCCATCGTGGATTTGTTGCTGTTCCGACCGTATCCCACTGAGAAACCAAACTTGATGGTTAAATAGGTTAAATTACGTAGCACAGAAAGACAAACAGATGTACGTCACTGGTCGCGTAGTTCCTAAAGCGCTCACTTCGCGCTGAATTGTCAGAAAGATCAAGCGGGACAAGCGGAACACCAATCAATCCGACAACGGCAAAGCAGTGACCAATCGTGTCGCAGAAAAACTTCTCCGTCTTCGTTTGTAAATTCTTTATTCGTCTCGAAGAAAGTTTTGAAACTGATATACGAGTATAGCTGAACTTCTTGCACCATTCACCTTTCTCCTTTTTCTCTCCACGTTGGAGAAAAAAGAAGGGAAGATAAACGGTACAACTGAAGTTCAGCTAAAAAGAACAGACCTTTATGTATGACACTGCTAGCACAATAAATTAGAGTGAAACAAACTATTATTTGCCAAAAAAGAATAGGTTTTAAGTTTATTTCTGCAGAGAGAAATCTCTGATATCTGCATTAAAATTTTCTTTCGTTTTTGCCAAATATCAAGCATGTATTTATTTCACTCATATATTTCGTCCTTCCGGCGGCTCCGATTGCCACACTGACAATCAAAAATTTATTATAGATTCAACACATACATTTGTAACGTACTGTAGCATCTCTACGACTCTGCGTTTACATGGTACATGCGCAGTATATTTGTAATTATTGTATATTTGTAATTATCACGTGATGGCGATAATGAGAAATACACCAGTGGACCCCGTAGTCGATGTGCACTTCTCCCGCCTCCCGGCGAGAAACGCCGGGTGCTGGGTGCAACTTGAAGGTGATTCTGACGAAACAAATCGGAATCCAACCAAATCCCACGCGGTGTCCCAAATCTCTATTATCGCGCGCGGACGCCTCGCGAACGTTCTACGTTCGGGTACGAGTTATTCATACGCCGTTCGGTGTCGTCAGCTGTGTCCTGGGTTTCGCCCGTGTCTATTTACTTGGCGTCTGAAACGGATTGCATTTGGAAAATCTCGGAATTTTGGATTTCCGTTTGATCTGACTTGAGACGTCACACGGGGGTGCTTAAAAATACGTTCTTAGGAATCAGCGATATTTATTGCGCGGACACTTTTGGTTTAAAGTCTAAATCTAATGATTTGATGCATCACGATCTGGGAATCGTATATTGATGATTATATTATTAATATGAAAATATTTGTATCGTCTGTATATACAGACTACAGTTTAGACATTGAAGAGTGACAAATGGTAAGTATTGCTCTGTGTTATATTTTTAATGCCCATTTTCATTAACCGTAGATTAACTTTAATCGATTTAACTTAATTTTATCATTTTTTCAAAAACAAGAATTAGAAAAAATGGAGAGTAAGTTGAACCAGAATTAAAGTTAATCTTAATTGCGGTAGAAAGAAATATAAGAAAATTAAAAATGTCCTTTGGATGTACTTTATTATATCTTCTATTTATTTGATAATTTTGTTTATCTTTTTTTTAGATTCTGTGATTTCTTTACTTAATATCAGGCTGAGTCCTACTTTACCAGCAATCTTGGAAGTTTGTTTACTGGTTTATTTATATTACTAATGATGACCTAAGAAAAATACCATTTTATGAAAACAATTTATGAAATATCAATAGTGAAATGATTGATAGTCGAATTTTGAATGATCTAGTTGAATTTTGAATGCTACTCATCTAAGTTTTATTCGCTCACACACATCTAAGTAAAACAAATTGTAACAAATATTTTGAACATAACCATAATTATAATGTTGACGTTAATTGGCTTGTATGCATGCTTTTATTCATTCCGATTTGCAAGCAGCTCAACCCTGACTGCACCTCCTCTGTCGGCTCTAGTAGTCGCGTTTGAAAGCGTATATGATCTATCATTATTGGCCAATACCTTATCGGATCAAGGGATTGATACAACATTAATAATACCGACATATACTGCTAATAATATTTACAATAAATTGATCGATGTTGAAGTGTTACAACTGGATGTTAACATTGATAAGTCAGTGTCTGCTGACAAACGTGCACTAGAAACATGCAACATTTTTTTCAAGGATGAAGAAATACTGAATAAAGTACAAAAATTTCAGCCTACGTTCATTATATTTCCAGCATTAAGGTATATCAATATTAAAACCAGTTTTATTTCATTACATTGTATTTGAAAGATCCAGACTTTTACATGTGTGTGTGTATATATATATATATATATATATATATATATATATACGTAAAAGTATATGAAATATTAATTATTAAATTAATGAAGCCTGAATCTTTTATAATGCATACTTTTGTGATACTTTTTTAGACATGATGGCTGCTTACTTCCGTTTGCAAAGCATATTGAATCAATTCCAGTAATCTGGATAAAGAATCCAGATGAGGAACTGTATGCATTTGAATGCACTAGAGTTGCATTGCCGGTGCATAGTGGTGGCTTTTGGTCGAGACTTTCGACAAGTTTCTCAGGAAGAACCATATTTTCCACTGTTAAGAACGATTATCTAACTCCCGCTTTACGATTAGCAATCAAACATCTACCGAACATTAATATCGATTTGGAGCATCTTTACTCGGATGTTAGACTAGTACTTTGGGGAGGCGATACAGTATTACGTTCTGATTTTGCATCTTTAACAGAGTTACTCGTGGAGGTTTGTAAAATGTCTATTAATTCTTCAGTCTATTCTCTTGTTTTTTAACGTTTCGACATTATATATCTTTGTAAATTTTAAAAACTATAATTTAACATTGATTTAAAATTGCTTTTAGATTGGTTGTCATCACTGTAGAGGTTCATATCCCTTACCTGAGAACTTGCAAAAGTCATTGATCGAATATAGGACGGGTACTATAGTTGTTCTTTTAGAAGAAAATTATGAGACATTGATACAAGAACTGGCAAAGAAATTGCCTCAAGGGAGGGAAGGTCAAGCTGTTATATGGAAGAGTAAGCGCAATACAAACGTTGCGCCGGAAAATCTTTTTATTGACGAAGATGTTGACCGGCAAGACATCATAGGTAAAATATAAATAATTATACATTGATAAAAATTATATTTCTGTAATAGTGAGAACTAAATATAAAAACTATAAATTGTTTTAATACAGGTGCATAAATCAGTAGCCAAATTATAAAGAATACATATACATATTTCATATGTAATATTGATTTTTAAAGATCTAAACTTTTCAATTTTAGTAAATGTAGGATTCTCATTGAGGGACCTTTATCTCTCTCCCACGACACAATACATTTCATAGTAAATGAAAACAATGAGTTCTAGAGCGTTTACTTGCGCACAGGTGAAATACGTGCCTCGCGAATACAAACTCTTCAAAGCGCCATTGAATTGAATATAATCGCTCAAGAGAGGATAATACGGCAATAGCATGCTCATTGTTACAGGTTATAGCCGAACCCGAGTGGTGTTGAGTCATTGTACTGATACAGAATTCCTGGAAGCTGCCTTTCACAGGACACCTCTGATATGTCTGCCGAGGGACGCCCACGAGTCTCGTAACACCGCTCGCGCAGTCGAGTTAGGTTTTGCGCGCTCCATAAAAATCACGAATGATCATTTCGCCTCGGCTATGGAGATCGCACAAATAATAAACGAGATCTATGAGACGGTGGCTTATCGTGAAAATGCACGGAAGGTTTCCGTGGCGATACGCGACAGACTAAACCCATCCTCCGACAGACTCGTCTATTGGCTGGGCTATGTCGCAAGGACGAAAGACGACACCGAAAAGTTCCATAAGCCAAAGAGTCAAGCGAGGACACTTACGGAGGATATTCAATTTTTCGTTGGCCTTCTGGTAGGTGTAATTATCGGGATTGTCTGTGCGAGCAGCGCGGTTGTCGCGCGATATCTCATCACGACTAACAAAGTGCAAATAACAAAGGGACGATACATGCAATAAACGTGTTCCATTGAGATTCGACTCAATATACGCATGCATGGACATTTCCGAATATATATATATTTATATAAATGTACGTAGAATACAGGTACATACGAATACAAAGGTTTTACGATCTAGGAGTTATCTCATAGTTAACGAAGAAACAATTTTACTATTATTATTATTATTATTACGAGAACACCTTCTCATAATTTGACTGATAAGACTACGAGTCTAATGAAGTGTGATGTATTATCATGAAGAAAATAAATTACAGTTTGTCAATACTGAGTTCTGTATGTCGTCGGCACGAGTATATCCCTCGTGTGATTACATTTAACGCTAAGTTCTTACAATATACGGACGAATCGCGATGTCTACGTTGCTTAAGGCCGTATTCTAAACAAATAAGAGATAATAGGTATGCAATCTCATGAAATAATATTAATGATTTCTGTCCATATAATATATTCGCAATAACGCGAAATATCTTATTATAGAATTCATCAAATAAGCGTCATCCACTAATTAATTAGATTTGTGGAGCAATTTTATATTTGCGCAGAAATTTAGTAATACATTCCAAATACGTATCTATAATTGCATAATACCATAATATATATGTATGCGTATATAATGGTACTATACTAATGTATTTGAATATTCCTTCCAACGATTTGAGTAAATTATTTTAATAGATTATTTGAGAAGTTGCAGATTTCTGTTTATAAGACATTGCATAATATTTAATATCTATAGCTATAAAATAATAAAGCATACATATATACATACATATATATATATATATATATATATATATCTTAACATTGTCATTGAGATTACAATTATATTAAAGCGATTGTGTAAATAGTTGATTTAAAAATTAGTGCATATTTTATATTACTTATTCAAGTTATATAAATAATCTAACGAATGTTTTCTTTCTCGTATAGAAACCTTTCACATAAATCCACAGTTACATCTGATTTTAAGTTAGA